TTTTTTCACACTTCTAATTTTATTACCAATTATTTTGTTAGATATTAAAAATTTTTTAGATTAATTCAAAGAGGGGAAAACAAACTTAAAAGCTTTAAAAGACGAGGTAGGACATGAGCAAGTTTGCAAATAATGTTTTAATTAAACTTTGCTTCTTATTGCTCTCTCAGTTAATGTTAATAGCATTGAGACAAATTCTTCATTACACTACCTTAGACTGAGCTGGATATTGCTTAATAAATTAAAGGCCTTTTTACAAATTTGTCGATTTTTAAAAGTAAATGCGTAATTTTTTTAAGACATTTGAAATGTTTGGATACAAAAATTTACTTTATTCAGACTGTGTTCTCTTGTTTCTGTGCTCGGTGGCTACCTTAGACAACGATCTGCAGATGCATACAAATAATCATTAAATGTTTAGGTGGTATTATATGGATAAATAATTTATTAGCAAGGTTACGAGCTGAAGGGTTAAAAACCTGTTCTCGTTTTTGTCGAGCTATTTGTTGTTGTGTCTGTGCTCGTTTAAGGTTTATAGTTTCTTTAACTTGTATTTTTTTTTTTTTTTTGCTAATAAAGTTTTCGGCAATGTAGTGAATTTTAATAAAAAAAATTACTTCCCGACTCATGATTAATTAATCTTGTATGAATTTTATAGTTAAAATTAGTACATAAAAGAATGCTAAACTACTGCTATTAATTTTTTTTTCAAAAAAAAAAAGTTTTTTTAGAAAAAACAAACAACAACCAAGGAAATCTGGCTCTGGTGCCGATCTGTTAAGCACACAAAGAAAGTTGTTGAGGAGGCGAAGAGCAAACCATGTAGATAATCTATCTGATGCAGGAACCTTTGAAGGTTTTTTTTTAATGTTTTTTGTGTTGTCGTTGCTGTTTCATACTTGGTAAGACTTTCATTGATGTACAAAAATTTAAATAAACAAGACAAAGTCATTTTTTTACTTTTCTGTTGGCAAATAATGCGTTTTGAAAACCTGTGATAAAGTAGTTGACAATAAAATAATGATTACTACTCTAAACAACTGCTGTTAATTCTAGGTATTTCTGAAATCCATTCTCAGGACGATGCTGAAACGTCAACAGCTGATACTCATGCTCGAGCCGACGACCTGGAAGGTTTTGACGGTTTCCAAAATGAAAGACGAGTATCGGTGCTTTTTGTGCTTGTCATCATGATCGGTAGGTTGTTGCCAGTTATTGGTTTTTTCAACAAAAAAATTCAAAATGTACTTCTACAAATAAAAATTTCTTTCTGCTTACAAATATATACAATAAAATGTCGCTTTTTTTTGCCACTGTTTGGTAGAAATATAGAAATATATTTGTTTACTGTTTTTTTCTGACAACATATTTACAGTTTATTGAAGTAAAAGTTTACCAGGAAAGAAGTGTTAATAGATTAATTGAAAAACAGAAGTTATTTCTTTTAAATTTCACGACAAGCAGTAGTTAGAAAAATGTGCTTAAAATCTTTTCTATTTTTGCTTTTATCATTACTCAAACTGCTTTTTCTTTATTACTCAAAAAGAATTTTTTTTGGACTATTTTTGTTTTTGTACAATAAATTATAAATTAATTGTAAAATGCGGTAAACATCTGTAAACTTTCAAAAATAGTTCCATTTTATAAAATTTCTTGTATTACTTTTATTTATTAATCACTTTCCGATAGCTTTTAAGTACGAAAAATTTTAAAAAAAAAATGATTTTAATAATTGTCAGAAAAAATATAGAATTTAGATAGTTTAATAGTTTAAAAGACAATAGTTTATTGACAGTTACAAGGCTGAAAAAAATGTTTTCAATTTAATGTCAAACTTTTGTAATGAAAGTTTGAAAAAAAAGATTAAGCAACTGAGTAAATTAAAAGCATTTTTTTTTTTCAGGGTATACCGCAGGTGGCGCATTTTTAATGAAACTATGGGAGAATTGGGAATTTATGGATTCCTTCTATTTTTGTTTTGTAACTGTGACAACTATAGGTGCGATATAATTGATTTCAGCAACTCTATTCATTACTTTTTAAAACCAAAAGTTTTTAGTGTTGTAGTTATAATTTTCACACTAAGCAGCCAGTGCTTGTTTTAAGGTTTTGGCGATATTGTGCCTCAAAATGTGGACCTATTTCCGGCCACTTTAGCTTACATAATATTTGGTCTTATCATTACCACAATGTGTATAGGTAAGCATGTATTACTTGTCTTAAATTATTCAGAAAAAACTATTTTATTTTAAATATTTGTACAATACTGTGTACCAATTTATTGTTCTTCTTAAACTTCTAGAAACCAGAAATTAGCTAACATTAACTGAGCAACTAATGTTTAGACTTGGTTGGAAGTGCATATATTCATGATATTCATTTTTATGGCCGAAGTATTGGTCGAAGATTTATGACAATTGGTGGAAAAGTAGTACATTTAGGAGAGGTAAGTTTACGTTATCGACATTTCTTAATTTTTCAATGGTAAACACCTAAAAATATACTAGTAGTGAAATAAAAAAATGTAGTTTTGGTATTCAGTTTATTAACAAATTAACCTACAGCTGTTTGTAAAAAAAAAAAAAAAAGATGCTTTTTTTTCTTTTCATGCATTTAAAAACGATTTACTGTTCTTTTGCTAAAAAAGCAATAAAATAATCAAAGTTTTTTTCTACTTTGCTTACAGATAACTAATGGCAGCATTAATCAACAATTTTAGGTATTTGGTTATATTGCATTTTTACAAAAAAATTATGGTTTAACGCCGGAACAATTAGATAAGCTATCAAAACTGCCTGAACAATATTTGTTAGACTGTATGATCAGCGGAAAGCAACCAGATATGAATCGAATAGGTAAATTTCCGC